GCAGTTGAGTGGTTGTTTAACGTTCCTTAAATTTAGTAGGGGATTTGACTGAAGGGAACGGCCCCAGAGGTAGTGATTTAATTAATTAATTAATTTGAAACCCCAACTATGCCCCATTATGACCTGTACTGGGATAGTGGAGCTTGATATTGATAAGTACACAATAAATTTATTGTAAATGTCTGCTATTTTATATATTTATTTTTTATAGGCATTTTATACCTTGCCAGCGAATTGGATCACAAGAGGTTGCTCATGAGTTTTTGCTTACATGTGTAGTAGGAGACTAGGAGCTCAAGTAGGTACAAGGTTGAGCTGTAAGCTGTGTATAATTATAGACCACTAGCAATAAAAATTGATCATAGGAAGATTATTAGAAATTTTTACGGTTGTAAGGTATGGTTTAGGATGAAATAAATTCAGCTTCCATTTTGGTTGACAACTTTTAATGGAGAACAAACGGGCTGGCATGAAAACAAACCTGTATTGAGAATTCTGGGGCAAATTGGACCACATTTTTTTGAGCATACAGATCTTTTTTCTTATAACGAGCACATTTTAGCTTTTGATAGAGCTACAGCAGGTAAGTGAGGCATTTTCTTCTTGCATTCATTGCCGACTTCCTTAACAAACTTGCCAATGAAAATGGCAGCCAATTATGACATGTGGGCAGATACCGTATATAAAATTAATGAAATTCATTTCCAATTCTCACTTCCAGTGGTCTATAATTAGTTTTTAAGTCAGTATAGTTTTTAAATTCGTAAATTTTTTATTCATGCATTAAATAATGCAAGCAATGACATATTCCACTTTTACAGTACTTCTGACTATTAAGGGTGCTGCCTATAGCAAAAATTATTTTATGCAGGAATGCTTAAGCCATACAAGTGTCATATATAAGAGTCTTATTAGGTTCTTTATGCTCCTCTAAAAATGGGTTTTATTTTAATGAAAAACCTTTAAGAAAGGGACTGGAAATATATAAAGCTGTAAAATGAAGTTTAGATTTTGAAACTGGTGTTTTATGCCAGAAAAATGCAAACTTTCGAAAAACTTCGCCTGTAGTGATCAGAATCAGACCAAATTTACAATATAGCCTCTTTACATGATTACACATACAGTAACATAGAGATATTTCAATTAAACAGGGCTAATATAGGAAAATGTGGTGTTGAGCAATATGAAAATCAAACTAAGTGGCATTACTAGTAGAAAAGGAGAAATATCTCTATGTTAATCAATTTGTTTGGTTAAAAACTGCCTTCACCTAGAAATCTGGTTATTCAAATCAAAAGTAAGAGGAGTTTTTCGCTTTTGAAAAATCTTTAGTATTTTAGCTCTTGATGCCATAGCTATTATGAGTTAAAGGCTCCAAGGTAGCTTACTAACTTATTTAGTTACTGTCTTGTAACTAGTACTGGTTTCATTATGATTGGTAAAGTACTTTGGGAGAAACAGCTCCCTTAGCAACAGATTAAAAAATTTGCGTGGGCGGTGGTGCAGCACCCTTAAAGCTGTTAGTTTTGTAGTTCTGAATTTACATGTATGCTATTTTTATGATAATTAGAATGTCACGAAAAGCTATCAGTATT